GTGGGATTCTTTTTTTTTTTACTACCGGTTCTGTGGGCGTGGCTTGGTGGGCGTGGCTTGGTGGGCATGGCAGGGGTAGGATACTGTCAAATCTCCATTCCCGCCCCACCCCAGGGGAAGGCTATACTAAAAAATCCCGTTCCCTCCCCACCCCCATTAACCTGCTTTCCAGTCCCGTTCTCCTGTGCAGGGCAACCAAAGGAGACCCAACTGATCAGCTGGGACTCAGTGGGAGGCAGAGAAGAGACGGGGTTGGCGGGGCCAGTCAGAGGCGGGATTGGCTGGGTTCTCGGAATCACTCGAAATTTCTGCTACCGGCTCTGCAGAACCGGTCCAAACCTGCTGAATACCCACCTCTGATCCCTGTGGTTGCCAAGCTCACCTAGCTAAAAGGGTGACACCCTTTTAGAAGCAACACGCATGTATTTCTAGAAGGTTTTTTTGGCTGCCACCAATGCCGGAAACCACATTTTCTATGCACACACAACCTTCAGGGGAGACAGTTCTTCCCTCCAGGTAATTAAATTCAGGTTGGTGTTCGTCTTAACTCGGATTGCGTAGAGAGATGGATTGCGACTTTGAGCTCAGGAACCAGCCCCTACCAGGGGAAGCCTTGAAATTGGACTATTTTTGGTTTTTTCCTTAAAAAAAACAGAAGAAGAAGAAGGAGGAGGAGGAGGAAGGAGAAGGAGAAGAAGAAGAAGAGGAGGAGGAGGAGGAGGAGGAGGAGGAGGAGGAGGAGGAGGAGGAGGAAGAAGAAGAAGTTGTTAAAAGTTTTAAAAACCGGCCCAGCCTTTGTGCCTTTGGCTTTCCCCGTGCGTAGGGTGAATTTTTCTGCGGGTTTTTTTTTTCCCCCTCACCAGAAATGTATGCCGTTAGTTCTCCACTGACAGCCTCCTTGAGGAGTTGACAGTGAAATTTTCCAGTCGCTGCTCTTCGTTAGGAACCTGGCGCTGTCTTAACAAGGCAGCCGAGCTGCCTTGCCGCCGTCTTCGCCTCGTGTTTGTTCTCGCAGGGCTCGGGGCGGCTGCAAGTCAGCGCATCGACCAGGGCTGATCATTACAAGGGCATTGCGCTACCATGAATAAGAATGTCACAGGCGCTCCTCCCGTCTCGCAGTGGTACAAAATGTCAGCTCTGTCAAACACACGTTGCAAGGAGCAGGGAAGCGGTTGGTACAAATTGGAAAGCCGAATATTCCCTCGGCTTTCTGATATTCTCCATTTGAAGCCGGAGAAAAAGAGTTGTTAACCTATTAGCTGTGGGGTGTTTTTTTTTTTTTTTAAATGCCCGCTGGAGTCCCGGAATGGACAGTTTTCTGGCATGTTTGGGGGAGGCAGGGGGTGGGAAGAACGGCCTCTTGAGAATTTGGGGAGACCCCAGCCCCCCCCTCCCTACTTGATTTCATGGAAGGGATGTTCCTTGGAGAGGGTGGTTGGCTTCTCCTGGGATATTTGGGGAGGTTTTGCAATGATTTTCCCAAGCCTCTCGCAGCCTGGTTGTCAAGGTTTTGACTGACGAACCCAACTGAAGCCAGCCACCCCCGAGACCATCCATCCGGTCTCTTTATGAAAAACTTACCTCCAGAAGTTTTAAATGCTCCAACACTGGAAGTTTTTAAGAAGAAGTTGGATAACCCTTTGTCTGAAGTGGTGTAGGGTGTCCTGCCTAAGCAGGGGGCTGGACTAGAAGACCTCCAAGGTCCCTTCCAACTCTGTTATAATATTCCATTCCATTCTATTCTATTCCATCTTTTATTCTATTCGTTCTCTTCTCTTCCCTTCCATCTTCTCTTCTTTCCTCTCCCCTCATCTATTCCAATATTTCTATTCTATTCTTTTCTATTCTATCCTTTCATGAGTTCATCACTTTGGCATGGTTGAAGGCAAAACCAGTTTCTAGATTTTTCCCATGCTAACTCCTATAGTTAAAAGTTCAAATTCTTCCATCACCACCCATAATTAGTCCAGGTCAAAAATGCTTTTCATTTTTGTCATCCAGTTTTCAGGTTGTCCCTCCTTTCGCATCCTTTCTTTAATGGTTCTATTCCACTATTTCTTAGATATAAGATCCTTTGCAGTTTTTTGAAGTTTCGCTTAACTATCCTCCTGCAGGGAGTTGGCTGCAGCGAGCTTACCGTGGCAAGTTGGCCACAGCAAGTTGGCTGCAGCAAATTGGTCATAGACCCCCCTCAAGGGGTCAGAGCGTGCTAGCCTGATGGAGTCACCTCCGCTGGGTCCATGGACCAGCAACAGACTGAATTGGCATTAAGTTGGCCAGGAGGCTCCAGGTGAGGACCAGGAACAGCAATTCCATTAACAACGAGGAAGAGGTGGAATCCACACCTCCTCCCGATCCAAGGACACAGAGAGCAGAGAGGAGGCAGGCACAATGTTGGTCAGCTAGACTGCTCGCGAGGAGGCAACCTAATCTAATTTAAGCATGAAAAATGGCTGTAAGTCCCCTCCCCCCCCGCCAGTGCCAAGATGGAACGGTTACTACCCGTAGTCCATTATAAGAGCCAGTGAAATGTGGAATCATCTTCCTTCGTTCTATAGCTGGTCCTTGAACCGCAAACCAGCGGCAGTCGTTTTAAGGCCCCTCCGCCGGCTCCGATTTGGACATTCACAGCGTCTTTCTCGACACAGCGCAATTAATTAAGAGATTTTTTCTACCAGAGTTTCCCATTCTTGACCTTTTTGGGAAAGGATGCGTTTTGCTGCATCAACAAATTAACTGCAGACCGGAGGCTGCTTTCCATACGACGTTCCATGTCTCGGGGATCTGTTTTTGGAGCAGGGGAAGGGAAAGGTCCAGTATGTCAACTCATAAAACATTCCTATGCCTGTTTTAATAGGTGCCATAAAAAAAAAGCGGGGGGGGGGAGGAAGAAATCTGGAAGAGCAATTGAAAGCAAAAGTACATTCCAACTCTTCTCTTTAAAAGGTTGTAACTAAACTACCAGAGCTTTTGCCCGTGAATATATTTAATTGGAGAACGTGAATGATGACACCCAGCCTGCGAACGGGCTCAATTGGAGAATCTGATTTATGACACACCCGGCGGGAGGGAGGAAACAGGGTCACAGTGGACTGTAAATTACGTATGCCAGAGTTGGCTCCATACAGGGCAGGGCCAGTACGTCACCTCCAATAGATCCTTTGCAGTTTTTTGAAGTTTAGCTCGAGAATCATGGTTTAATTGGCGATTGTCGGAATCCTGACACAGGATTCAGAGTATACACACACCCCCTGCATGCCACCCATCATCCCTTTTTTCCTCTTATTTTGTGACCTATTTTGGCAGATCAATACAGATAGTCCTCAACTTATGGCCATTTGTTTAACGAACGCTTGAAGTTACGATGACATTTGGGGGGAAAAGTGGACCTGGGATCGGTTTTCACACTTAGCGGCCGTTGCAGTGGTCACGGGACCAAAATTCAGATGCTCGCAATGACAACTTGTATTTTACAATGGTCGCAGCAATCCCTGCGGACACATGATCTGCTTGTGCAACCTTCTGACAAGCTGGGGTCAACGGGAAGCCATCCGGATTCGCTTAACAACCAGGCGGCTCACTTAACAGCTGAAGTGATTTTGTTTAGCAATGGGAGACAGGCAAAGTCAGTGGGGATAGCTGGATTCGCTTAAAAACCAGGTGACTCATTTAAGAACTTGCAGGGATTCACTGAACAAAGGTGGCAAGAAATATCGTAAAATGGGGCTGAACTCACTTAGCAACGTAAAATTTGGGTTCAGTTGTGGTTGTGAGCTACGGACTATCTGTATTCTCCTTTCCAGAGTTATCAGTGGACAGGATGTCTCTTCCTCCACTTCTGCCAAAGTACCAGAAAAGATCCTGAAATGGACTTGATAAAGAAACTTCCTGACAGTGAGAACAATTAACCAGTAGAACTGCTTGCCACCAGAAGTTTGTGGGTGCTCTTCTTTTAAGAAGAGACTGGACAATCATCTGAGGTGGTATAGGATCTCCTGCTTGATGGCAGGGGGTTGGACTAGAAGACCTCCAAGGTCCCTGCCCAGCTCTCATCATCATCTTTTAATGACTCCATAATTCCTTGTGGAATGGAGTCTGGGAAACTGAATGGAGCTAGCAGAGTGTTTACTGGCCAGATGCCCTACCTGTCACCAATGCGGAGTCATATTCAGCAGTTATATTCTCATTGTGCCCAGAGAGAGAAATATCTGCCTCTACCTAGGATCGAACTCACAGCCTCCTGATTGTGAGGCGAGAGCTCCACCTCTAGGCCACCGCACCACTCCGAAATCCCTTCCAGCTCTATTTTGATTTAAATCAAATAAATTAAAAGACGTAGGCAGAGCCGTCTCTCCTTGGCTTCCCTCTCTCCTCTACATTTTTTAAGCCCAACAAGTTCAAAAGATCTGAGATTCCCTGTTGTGGCCCGCTGGTGGCTAGCGGAGCTGGCAGCAGAGATGGACAGTGAGGAGGTTGGGGAGGAACCTGGGCCAGTCCTGGAGGCTGAGGAAGGCTCGGACGAGGGCTCTGCATCAGAGGCAGAGATGGGGCCAGGGCAGGCTGGCAATGGTCAGCTGCCTTCGGAGTCGGACAGCAGTGGGGCAGGGGAACAGCTGGAGCCGGTTCCCAGCCTGCACATGCACAGAGCTACCAAAAGGAAGGAACAATTACAAACTAAGGGTCGATGTGGGAGTAAGGCCACAGGGGGATGGTGAATGGCCCCTCCCATAGGGATTAAAAGGGGAGGGGGCTTTTGCTTTCGTTCACTGCAGCAGTTGCAGAAGATCTGTCTGTGCATTTCAGAGACTCCGTGCTGAGTCCTTCCTTGTCAGCACTGCGTTTAGAAATAGTTACTTGCTAGCTCTCCAAGCTAGATAAGGTCTGTGCTTATAATTATCCCTTTGAAAGACTGTTTGCCAGGCCTTTGGCTGAATGTGAATGCAAGAAATTCACCTTCGTTCAATAAAAGGGGTTTTGCCGGGACCAAAAGTCTGCTTAGTGCTTTTGGGGGAAAGCCAAGGTCAGAACATTCCCTCCCATCGCCAGGACTTTGTTCCAGGAAGTTGACGTCCTTCTGAAGGTCTTGGTTGGGTGATGTTTTGGGGTGTCGCCCGCTCCCTAGGGCTAATGACTGAAGTTTCCACTTTGCTGCAGCCAAGCGCACGACCGGTGAGACCGCCACTTCCCAAGATCCATCGTTCCACCAGGCCCGTGAGTAAACTGGCCGTTTGCCTGCCTCTAACCCTGCATTGCTCCTTCATCTTACTAAAAAAAAACCTCTGCTGGATGGCCTTTGGCAACCTCATGAGAAGCCAGGCAGGGACGGTGGCCTTGGTTCAAGCTGTGTAGGTTCTAGGTTCTGCTGGTCTTCTTCTCCAGAGCCGCTCTTAACTCCTGTGGGCCTTTGGACACCTTTGTCTTCACTCCAGATTATTCTTTTCTGCAAAAGCTCCTCCAGGCTCAGCCGTTTTGGTCAAGTCTTCCCAAGTTTTAAAATGTTAGGATTGGATGCAAGGAGGAGAAGAAATTCTTGGTAGAGGGGGGTCTTTGGTGGAACCAATTCTTGGTTTGGATGGAAACTTTAGCCAAGCACCAAGGCCTGGTTTTAGTCCCCAATGCCTCTAAATTGGGATAATAACATAGCATTAGCATTTATATACCGCTTCCCAGTGCTTTACAGCCCTCTCTAAGGAATTCGCAGAGTCAGCCTTTTGCCCCCAACAATCTGGGTCCTCATTTGACCCACCTTGGAAGGATGGGAGGCTGAGTCAACCTTGAGCCAGTCAGGATCAAACTCCTGGCAGTGGGCAGACTTAGTCTGCAATGCTGCATTCTAACCACTGTTCACCATGGAAGGAAGGAAAGGAAGGAAGGGAGGGAGGGAGGGAGGGAGGGAGG